AAGAAGATAATTATCTAAATACAGCTTTACAAATCCAAGTATTTTCCCCATAAATGCAATCTTATAACTGGGAGCAAACATTCATCACTACTATGCAACAATACTAAAAGATCCATTCTGGAATGAATTACTTCATATATTGGGAACGTATTACAAGAAACATAAAACAGATCAGAAATTATCCATGAACAACTCTGGTTTAACCATCAATTTATAATTTATAAACCCATGTCACACTGAAAAAGGCTGGTATGACAAAGGCATTCATACCATAGGAGACATATGCACAGACCGATGTCATAGGAAGGTTAATTCCCTGAAAGTAAGAGACAACATAAAGGCACCTTCTTGGACTATAATAGGATGTTGCAGAACATACCGGGAGGATGGAGAGAAACCGTAACAAATTCAGCTAAAATTCCCACAATTGACTTAGGGCTAAATGATACCCTACTAACTATTTTAAAACATTCAAAAGGTATAATAAATATATTGCAACGGAAAATTTACCTATTGTTTGTTCAAAATGGACGACATGTCACGAACGACATTTCATGGAACGAAATATAGTGAATGTGAAAATTGCTAATACATGTATTATGGAATACCAACTGATAGTAATCGAGTTTGCACAAGACAATCCAGTGATTTCCATCATGAGCATCGTTCCCTGCAAATGAGGTACGATGATACGCTATCAACCAAGAAGGCAAGCTGGATTTCTACTGGGTCTTCTACAACTGATACTCTTTTTTGACACTTTTTGAGGTAGCATAACATCGCTGTACTTCCATTGCCGACCTCTCTGCCCCTAGAACATGTCTGGGATGAGGTGGACGGACACCTACGCGAGGACAAGAAGCAACCAGAAACGCCAGCTCAGTTGAGCCAATGAAGTTGTCTTCAATGCGCCGCCACATTTGGAACAACATCCCCAGGCTGTTTTCATTCATCTGGTGTTTTCAATGCGCCGCCACATTTGGAACAACATACCCAGGCTGTTTTCAATCATCTGGTGTCTTCAATTCGCCGCCACATTTGAAACAACATCCCAAGGCTGTTTCCATTCATCTGGTGTCTTCAATGCGCCGCCACATTTGGAACAACATCCCCGGGCTCTTGTCAATCATCTGGTGTCTTCAATGCGCCGCCACATTTGGAACAACATCCCCAGGCTGTTTTCATTCATCTGGTGTCTTCAATGCGCCGCCACATTTGGAACAACATCCCCAGGCTCTTGTCAATCATCTGGTGTCTTCAATGCGCCGCCACATTTGAAACAACATCCCCAGGCTGTTTTCATTCATCTGGTGTCTTCAATGCGCCGCCACATTTGGAACAACATCCCCAGGCTGTTTTCAATCATCTGGTGTCTTCAATGCGCCGCCACATTTGGAACAACATACCCAAGGCTGTTTTCATTCTTCTGGTGTTTTCAATGCGCCGCCACATTTGGAACAACATACCAAGGCTGTTTTCATTCATCTGGTGTTTTCAATGCGCCGCCACATTTGGAACAACATACCAAGGCTGTTTTCATTCATCTGGTGTCTTCAATGCGCCGCCACATTTGGAACAACATACCCAGGCTGTTTTCATTCATCTGGTGGTTTCAATGCGCCGCCACATTTGGAACAACATACCAAGGCTGTTTTCATTCATCTCGTGTTTTCAATGCGCCGCCACATTTGGAACAACATCCCCAGGCTCTTGTCAATCATCTGGTGTTTTCAATGCGCCGCCACATTTGGAACAACATCCCCAGGCTGTTTTCAATCATCTGGTGTCTTCAATGCGCCGCCACATTTGGAACAACATCCCCAGGCTGTTTTCAATCATCTGGTGTTTTCAATGCGCCGCCACATTTGGAACAACATACCCAGGCTGTTTTCATTCTTCTGGTGTTTTCAATGCGCCGCCACATTTGGAACAACATCCCCAGGCTCTTGTCAATCATCTGGTGTCTTCAATGGTATGGTAAGTGTTAGATTAACAAAATATTCAAGGCAAAATGCTCAATATAATTCGTAATATGTATTCGTAGACAACAGCAACTGTGAAAATTTCAAATGTCAGCATTTTCGAATAATTCGATTGTTTAAATGGTGTTCGTCAGGGTTGTATTATTCCACTTCTATTCCATATATTTATTAACCAACTTGAAGTATATTACACCAGTACGGCGGGAGAGGTGTGTTTAGACTTTTTAGACTTGCTTTTATTACTATATTTGCCGATGATTTGTCTGGTGTTTTTTTCCATAATGTTATTGCTTTATAAGAGAACATACATATATTATGGAAGTATTTTTGAAAGCAGTGCTTGAAAGTTAATTCCAATAAAACTTAAAACCTTGTGTTCAGTAACGGTGGTAAACGTACGAATAATGAAAAATGGATGTACATGTATTATATCGCACCGAAAACCTCAACCTCAGTGCAAACCCATATTCACTAAAATGTAAAGCACGTTTCCTATAAACGGTTTCCAGTGGAAATTAACAAATCTTGCTCCCACCGTTCTCTTTGAAATGTCGAATTCTCAAATACAATGTAAGACCTATGCTTTGGAATTCTTCCTATGTATGGGTTTGTCATAAATAGGAGGCATTAGAACAGTTTCATGTAACATGTTGTAAATATGTGGTAAATCGTCTCCTGCAGCTGTCCTGGATGAGCATGGTCCATGTATCTATACTGTACTTATACTTTACGTTGAAACAATACACTGAACTGGACACCATGTACTTGTGAAGCATACAAATAATGTAAAAACGTCAGTTTGGTGGGGCCACCTCCAGGAATGTTCTCGTCCTCAGCCCGTGCAGCCCAGGCTTGACCACCAGGGTCCTCAGCCCGTGCAGCCCAGGCTTGACCACCAGGGTCCTCAGCCCGTGCAGCCCAGGCTTGACCACCAGGGCCATCGTGATTGTGGGGCCAATGCAGCCTCTGTGCACGCGGTTATTCCACAAGTCACGTTTCCAACTATCAATGGCAACCAAATTCACGGTAATGTAACGGTGGGATCAATTCATATAACAATTTCATATGGGTCCGTGCAGTGTGAGATGATCTGCGTGGGCGTTTCGTGAATAACGGTGTCTCACGGGCACTATGTAAGGCTGCGTCCAATCAAGAGCCGAGCACAGCCATACGAACTGGCGCGGACGTGACTTGTTATAACTGTTGGATGCGAAAACCTGACGAATATATAAATGTATATATAACAAGCCTGCTCAACTTCATGGCATTGCTTCGCGCATACCCGTGAAGATCCGGGTATGAATAGGTCTTCAGCAGCCCATGCTTGCCGTAAAATGCGACTCTGCTTGCCATTATAGAGGCGACTAACGAGGTCGGGTGGTCAATTTGGTGACTCGGTGACTTGGTTGATGCATGTCATCGTACCCCAATTGAGAAGATCGATGCGACACCTACGCCATGAAAGGCTACACCATACTGTGCAGGTAGTAGTGTACTTCCTTAGTACATATGTAGCCGCAACAAATTAATTATCATTATTTGCTTCTCGTTACCTTAATTTTCGGCCATTTAAAAAACAATTCTTAAAAGTCCTGGTCTGTATATTTGTTACAGTGCATGATCAAATGACTGACATCTTCACTTAGGCAATTCACAAAACGGCAAAATATTTCAGCCATTTTTCTATTATTTTTCAATTTATAATATTATGATAACGAATTCCAAACATTGCCATGCCCTATTTCATCACCCATGACTGAAACTGATAGGATTAAAAGAGAACGAAAGGCAATGTGTTTTGATTATATTTTTGGCTTGTAATCCTCACATAATTAGGATATTGTGATGCTTTAAGCCCTTTTGAACTTCTTACTAACTTTTAGTCAGTCTGACGTAATTGTTTTTTTGTAAAATGACTGATTTTGACACACATACTATAACACATTTACTGAAGAAAACATAATCAAGTTATTGTGGTCTAAACACCCATTAAGATCTATTACTTGTCTCTATTGCAGTAAAAGTTAAGTGACTTTGTTTTGTCACACTGATAGTGTTGGTGTATGCCGACACGGGTGTGACGGTGTTTCCCATGTGAGGCTTGAGTACCGTGTGATAACGGGGATGTATGGACTGACGCGGGCTTGGTTCCCGGCCCGGCACCACGAACTCCATTGCAGAGATTATAAGTTGATATGTCTGTGTACAGCTGACGTCATTATCAACTGTGTAAAATCACTGATTATATATATTATAAGAAGACGCTACTCATTGGTCTGAAATGGTAAATAGTAAGTAGGTCACATGTATGCCACCGCTTATAACAGAGTGCGTTACTCCCATTACGTACGTTCGTATACGTAAGCAGTTAATTGCTCCCTCAAAACAGCAAAAGGTCAAAAGGCGCTCATACATGTTGCAGGTGCCAGTAATGTACTATGAAGACAAACCTCTCCAACTATCAATCGTATACTTCATCATATAATGACAAGGTCTCTAGAAAACATCCTATTTATGAATAATCCGAAGAAATGGGACTTCAGACATATTTTAGACTAACGCTTAGTCTCTGAAAATATCATTTTGGTTGAAAACCAAAAGCTCCATTTAAATTAAAAAGTAGCCCCTGTGAGATTGGAGATTCAGAACCTGGAAAAATTCTAGACTTGTTTCATTTAGGGACTTACATTTCAGAAAGGGTTCGGCGGACGGGGAAATAATATGGTTCAGGGACTGTGAGACAGACTAGACATGTTTAAACGTTGAACAGTATCTGTGTTATGCACCATCAGCGAGGAGGTTCCTATGCTGCCAGCACGTCTTCCTCATGGTAATGTGCCGCGGAAGATAATCTTTACTTATCATTTGATATTACGCGTGACGTACATCGGGAAATGTTTACGACCACTTCACATGGCCCTGAATTTATCAAATACTCAGGATTTACCAATAAACAAATCACATCGCAATTACGCAATACCATGGGAACAAAAACAGTAGCGAGGATGACGCGGAAACTGCTCTTCTGTCCAGGGAAGTGCTTCAGCTGCCGGCGGCCTCTCCCCAGACACATCCAGTGTGTACTCGCGCGTGCGTCCGACCCCTGACCCCGGCTACAACACCAGCTATCCCACGGCTCCTCTATAAAAGCAACGGGTTTACCCAACAGTAACAACGAAAAACAATCTAGCCTGCAGCTCTCACATCCTTGTGATCCCACAATGATACTTGGTGTCCTGGCTGTGTGGGGAATATGCCTGTTTCAAGTAAGTGAACAGTGTTTAACTACTTTCTCTATTCAAGAATAAATCAGCGCGGCTCCAGTGTTGTACGGTCTGTGAAGGTTTATAGTGCCTGCTTCTGTTGGTACTATTTGAAGTAGTTGGCATACATGGGGGTACATGGGTATGTATAACGGATACTTGTTGTCAATATGGTTAGACTTATACCACGTTCATATGCGCGTCTATACATATGTGTGTATACGTGTGTAGAAATACATCCGTAAGTATACTTGTCATCTGAACGCGTTTACTCATGTGTGTATATTTACACCAGGAGCAAATTTGCGTCATGTCTGGAGCCGGTGCAAATGTAAATGTAAATTTGCACTGCGTGTATCTGTTCTCTTGCCGACACCAAACAAACAGTCAACAGTTGCCAACCTTTCCAGGTATATACAGAGTTGAGCGGACGGTGTTATCCCCTGGTTTCAAGGAGTCAAAACTTTGTGTACAAATTAAATCAAACACATGTTGCTTCGCGCGCAACTTTTCGGTGAAGTAACTCTCTTCTCATTCAACTTTGATTAGAAAACAACCTGTTTTGTGTAGAAAGTCGTGAACAGACTGACGAATATATGTGCGCCTTACACAATTTACATACTTTATTTACAACCTAAGATGCTTTTCATGTGAACGCATAGTAAATTTGCATATAGACTCGTAAAAATAGTTACACATGTGTAAAATTACTTACGTTAGTAAATACTGTGCATGTGAACGGGGTATAAGATGTATAAGGACCAGTTGGAAGCTGTTGGACGGTCTCTTTTGATCACTGTAGTGGCTTTGTCTTCTTACTGAACCTTTTATGTGTTTTAATCTAGCAGTTGAATACACATGGACATGACACTCATGACTACGCCTTGACGATATAGTCCATCTTCAACATGCACGGAATAAGTTAAGGCTTCGCGGCTATAACGTTACCTTAGAAGTTGAACAGACCTAATAATAACCATTGCTTCATTCATAGCATATATTTATCATACAAAACTGGCTTCCACAGAAGATTTCACTTGGGTGAGATCCAGTGGTCTCTCCCAGATACCACTGCAGTCAACTTGCATTGGTTACAATCAAATGACGTTACTAAACTATTCCACTGAAGGTGGTTAGCAGTACTCCTTTCGCTTAAAACAGTTTATCACTGTTAACACACTGGAACAGTTGACAAATGATGTTGGATGATAAATAGAGTCTCCCCCTCTTGCCTTTGATAAGAAATATATCAAGACTCGTCGATAAAGTTTAAAACTCCTCGGGAAGCCTCAGAGAACTAAAATTATATTGCCTCGTGTCATATATTTCATATCAAAAGACACTCAGATGAGATTCTTTATTTATCAGTGTGAGAGCAGGCGATATATCCTAGGTGATATCGCTACCGTGAAGTCACAATGCATTTCAAACCATTGTGACGTTATCATCGTTATCATGACGTCACAATTAAATGACATCACTGATCTCTCTTCCACTGAAGCTGATTAGCCTTAGCGTTTACTCATACGACACTGGTTAGTTAGTTAGTGTTAGTTACTAACTTTAGTTTCGCGCATGATCTTAATGTCATTTTCATACTTTTTACTAAATGGGTTTTCGGTGTGATATTAGATCTTGTCATTGGTCTTGTCAGTCGTAATCTTCCGATAAACACAAAGTCTTACAGAGTTGCTGTGTAATGTACACGACTACGATTCAGCTGAAGTGGCGTGTGTAGCTATGTAGATGTTTTCATCTGAGAAATGTCTGGCAAGCCGCCTGTCCTCCGATAGTCTCTGACCTTTCTTCACTGGTTGTGTTCATCTTAGCCAGACAAATGCTATCAAGTTGTTGCAAAAACTGCTTTACGGAACACTGGTAGGCTACCGCTTAGTCTCTGAAAATAGAAAATATCTATTTTGATAGAAACAAATAACTCCATTTAAATTCAAAAGGAGCCCCAGTGAGATTTGATCAGAATCTGAACCTGAGGAAAATCTAGACTTGCTTCATTTAGAGCTTTTGCATTAGAGAAAGGTTTGGGCGACAGGGAAAATAATATGGTTCAGGGACTGTGGGACAGACTAGAATACTAGCAGCATACCCATACCTCATTATGACGGGATAATACCCATTCTTTATACCTTAATACACTTTGCGAAGAAGCACCCCTCCAGGGAAATCTCCAGTGACGAACGCTGATGTTTATCTGGCAGAATGGTAACTGCTTCTGTCTAAGTGTAAGATCGAAACTGACGTATGGGGGAAAGTAGTGTCCCCCTGGGATGGATCGTAGTAGTGGATGAGTCAGTATCAGCTGATGGCGGATACACAGAGAGAGCACCGTATATCACGTCCAATAACCCGCCCGGCGTCACTCACCAAGTACACTCGTGTCCTCGACAAAAACTCCGGCTAACTTACGCTCGTGTGATGTATTCTTCTCATTACTGACATTTCCATTTTGTTTCATCAATTCAGTGACAAGTAACGGGTACCGCAGTGTACATAAACGTGGTCTCTGCGAATGGATGGTTGATTGAAGTTGTTGATGGTGTTCACTTCGTTGTAGGCAATGACGTCATTGGTCTGTTTCAAAAGATAGCTGTGTAACATTAGATGGTAGCAACAAGAATGTTCATAATACCCATCCCAGCACCACCCCACATGGTGGCGGAACCCCTCTACATGTGGCAGACACGCGCTCGCGCCCAAACAGACACACACACACACTGACCCTTCCTATCTCCCAGCCCCTGATGTGTGGGCAGGCAGTACCAAGAACAGTGTAAGGAGGGCTCGGAAGTCAGATCTCATGACGTCGTGACTATTTGATAAGAAAACCCTGCTCACTTGGAGTGTCGGCCACGCTACACAGCTGCACGAGAAGGCCCAACTAACTTGCAGTGTCGGCCATGCTACACAGCTGCACGAGAAGGCCCAACTTACTTGAAGTGTCGGCCACGCTACACAGCTGCACGAGAAGGCCCAACTCACTTGGAGTGTCGGCCAAGCTACACAACTGCTCAGGGCCCAACTCGCTTGAAGTGTCGGCCACGCTACACAGCTGCACGAGAAGGCCAAACTCACTTGAAGTGTCGGCCACGCTACACAGCTGCTCGAGAAGGCCAAACTCACTTGAGGTGTCGGCCACGCTACACAGCTGCACGAGAGGCCCAACTCACTTGAAGTGTCGGCCACGCTACACAGCTGCACGAGAAGGCCCAACTTACTTGAAGTGTCGGCCACGCTACACAGCTGCACGAGAAGGCCCAACTTACTTGAAGTGTCGGCCACGCTACACAGCTGCACGAGAAGGCCCAACTCACTTGTAGTGTCGGCCACGCTCCACAGCTGCACGAGAAGGCCCAACTCACTTGAAGTGTCGGCCACGCTACACAGCTGCACGAGAAGGCCCAACTCACTTGAAGTGTCGGCCACGCTACACAGCTGCACGAGAAGGCCCAACTCACTTGAAGTGTCGGCCACGCTACACAGCTGCACGAGAAGGCCCAACTCACTTGAAGTGTCGGCCACGCTACACAGCTGCACGAGAAGGCCCAACTCACTTGTAGTGTCGGCCACGCTACACAGCTGCACGAGAAGGCCCAACTCACTTGAAGTGTCGGCCACGCTACACAGCTGCACGAGAAGGCCCAACTCACTTGAAGTGTCGGCCACGCTACACAGCTGCACGAGAAGGCCCAACTCACTTGAAGTGTCGGCCACGCTACACAGCTGCACGAGAAGGCCCAACTCACTTGTAGTGTCGGCCACGCTACACAGCTGCACGAGAAGGCCCAACTCACTTGTAGTGTCGGCCACGCTACACAGCTGCACGAGAAGGCCAAACTCACTTGAAGTGTCGGCCACGCTACACAGCTGCACGAGAAGGCCCAACTCACTTGTAGTGTCGGCCACGCTACACAGCTGCACGAGAAGGCCCAACTCACTTGAAGTGTCGGCCACGCTACACAGCTGCACGAGAAGGCCCAACTCACTTGAAGTGTCGGCCACGCTACACAGCTGCACGAGAAGGCCCAACTCACTTGAAGTGTCGGCCACGCTACACAGCTGCACGAGAAGGCCCAACTCACTTGTAGTGTCGGCCACGCTACACAGCTGCACGAGAAGGCCCAACTCACTTGAAGTGTCGGCCACGCTACACAGCTGCACGAGAAGGCCCAACTCACTTGAAGTGTCGGCCACGCTACACAGCTGCACGAGAAGGCCCAACTCACTTGAAGTGTCGGCCACGCTACACAGCTGCACGAGAAGGCCCAACTCACTTGAAGTGTCGGCCACGCTACACAGCTGCACGAGAAGGCCCAACTCACTTGTAGTGTCGGCCACGCTACACAGCTGCACGAGAAGGCCCAACTCACTTGAAGTGTCGGCCACGCTACACAGCTGCACGAGAAGGCCGTGTCTGACGCGGCTCAACTTCTTCATGTGTAACCTGTCATTTAATGTCGATGATCCTTGACTCTATGATTTTTGTTTTTTGTTTGTTGTTGCTTTACGCCGCACTCAGCAACATTCCAGCTATATGACGGCGGCCTGTAAAGAATCGAGTCTGGACCAGACAATCCAGTAATTGACATCACGCGCATACAATGACATGCATCAACCAAGTCAGCGAGCCCGACCACCCGATCCCGTTAGTCGCCTCTGATAACAAGCATAGTCGCCTTTTACGGCAAGCATGGGTTGCTGAAGACCTATATGTTAGATATACGTTGAAAGTAGAGTGGATTCTGTGTTCGTCTGGTGCACAAATGTACCGAAAGGCATGGTCCAGAACCTGTTATTGTCCATTGTTGGGGGCACGGGGGCCCATTCATCATTTCGCAGTTCGCTGTGCAGAGTGGCGTCCCTTGGGCACGCCAGAAACCTATGATTGTGGGTTCTAATGCCGGTTTGCCCTGATTATGTTTCTAGGTTTGTCAGCACCATTCCTGTGGTTGTGGGTTTTTGTTTGTTCGTTTGTTGTTTAACAATAT